TCCTTCTTTATTGGACCCACATCATATTAAACTTTTCCACTACTCCACAGGACATTAAACCACAATACCATAATGTATTTTTGGAGCTCAGCTTTGGATATGAGCAAGTCTATAATTTGCAACTGCTATCATAGGATATATTTTTGCTTTCCAGGCTTGTTTTCATTTACTGTTGCAGAAATGTTTTGAATCAAGCTGAGTGTATTAAAGCAACAGCAAATACAGCAGAATGCCTCAAAACGCTGACCCCCCAAAACTTTTGACTTAATGCCCTTTAAGAAGTAGGGTCTATATACGTTCTTCAAATGATAATTAAATAAATAATCACATGCATATAGAGTTCAAGCTTCATCACCTTTTTATATCAAAGCAACATCTTGCTTTGCTGTAATTCAAGTTTGTAAGAAGAGACATAGGGAACTCAGAACTAATAAGTTTCAGGGATAGAAGCCAAATTATCTATATCTGGAGTGAGAAGATAACTTGAAAAACAAAATGCATCAGCTCAAGAGCGTATTTGGGATCCACACTTCCTTCCTATCCTAAAGAATGTTACAATCTGGCAAGCTTGTGAATTTCGGATGCTCAGGCCTAAATTTCTCCTTAACAATGAAAATGCTGACTTCATCAAGTATATCAGTCATTTCCTTCATCCTGCCAATCCAGGTTCCAAACCAAAAGTTGGACACATCAGAAGGAACCATACCACAAAGGAACAACTCCTTTCCTGAAACACTATTGATGCTCTGAAGTAAAGAGTCAGTCTTAAATATACATTTGCAGTTATAATGTAAAAGAAAATATTTAAGTGTTTTTGAAGATTTTTCCCATTCTAGCTTAGTATCCTTGAAATAAATGTCTTGCAATCTCATTCTGTACTTGGAAATGACAAGTGCCAATGCTGGCAACTTGAAATGACTGGAAAAGCCTTTATTTTTAGCATTAAATCAGTACAGACTCTTATGTTTAGTACTGGCAATGAGGGTGGCGAGGTCTAATTACTACTCCACCCTCATTGCGTCATCAGATAACCGCCCGGCCTCCCTCTTCAGGGTGACCCGCTCCCTCCTTCAATTGAGGGGGGGGACCCCCTGGTGGGGAAGGCTGAGGAGTTTGCACAATATCTGTATGACAAAGTCGCCCGGATCCGAGAGGGTTTGGACTCCGACTGGGTGGCCCCGGGGGAGGTGGCGGGAGCAGGTCTTGAGACTATTATATGGGAGGAGTTTGACTCTGTGGCTCCCGAAGATGTGGACAGGATCCTGGGGAGGCTGAATGCAACCACATGTTTATTGGATCCGTGTCCCTCCTGGCTGGTACTGGTGGCTCGGGAGGGTACACGAGCCTGGCTCCAGGGAATTATAAACGCTTCTTTACGGGAGGGTGCCTTCCCCGTGGTCCTAAAGGAGGCGGTGGTGAGGCCCCTCCTTAAGAAGCCCTCCCTGGACCCAGATGTATTGGCTAACTATCGCCCAGTCTCCAACCTTCGCTTTGTGGCGAAGGTTGTTGAGAGTGTGGTTGCACAGCAATTCCCTCAGCACCTGGAGGAAACAGTCTATCTGGACCCTCTCCAGTCGGGCTTCAGGCCGGGATACAGCACGGAAACGGCATTGGTCACGTTGGTGAATGATCTCTGGA